TGCCTTAATTCCCATCTTTCCGAGCTTGAATAGCTTCTTGCACAAAATCCACTGTGCCTCATGTATGTTCCCTGGTACTGGTTTTAGCCATGGAGAAAACTCTTGGCTGGATAACCAATTTTGTTACATTTACACTTGCTCATATTTTCCAGACAAAAAGTAAATGGCGCATCTCCCAAATGTCGGGAAAACAACAACGCTTTTATTGGTTCCGCTATCAAATTCAATGCCTTTTAAGACTTTTTAAGAACCCGCGGGAACCCTCTTATAAGATTTATATTAATGTAGGAAGAAATGCTGCTGTTCTCTTCAAAAAAACAAAAAGTGTCCTGATGCTCACATTAAGCATAAAAAAGAGCATGCATATTTTTGCATAGGACCAATGACATCAGAGCAATGAAACTGAAGACCAATGGTGTCCCTACCAAAGTTGAAATCAAACCTACGCCCTTGGTTTATATCAGTGCACGAATCTTACAAGTAAATAGGCAGAACTAGCTGGCCATAACCAGATGGGGATCAGGACCATGCCACATAGAGAGATCACATAAACATGCATTATAAAAATGTATGGGTATTTTATAGATTACTTAGTAGACTAGTGTCTTTTAGAGAAAACACCCACTGCCTGATACACAGGGAGATCATCTACTTTGCATATGGAAAATGCAACCTAATGAAGGGAGACTGAGCCTATGAAATAAACTGATTTAATCAAAAGACTTCTTAGCAGGGCTTTATGAAATACCCCTTCTGAGAAACAAGCTTACACCTTCTTACCTCAGTGAGTTTTTGTGTAATCAGTTAAATCAACACTTTGAGTGAAACACGCACCGCAGATTTCACACAAATACATCTTCTTTACTGTGAGTTCTCATATGTACAGTCAAATGACCTCCTTGACGAAAGTTTTTTCCACAAGTCGGACATGAGAAAGGCCTCTCATCTGTGTGAGTTCTGATGTGTCGAGATAAATTTCTCTTATCACTAAATGGCTTTCCACAAGTTAAACAGGGAAAAGGCTTCTCACCAGTGTGAGTTCTCATGTGCTGAGATAAGGTTCCATTATGCCTGAAACTTTTACCGCAGGTCAGACAGGAAAAAGGTTTTTCACCTGTGTGAGTTCTTATGTGTTTTTTTAAAATCATTAGTAGGGTAAAACTTTTTCCACAAATCACGCAGGGGAAAGGCTTTTCTCCTGTGTGAATTCGGTTGTGAACAGTCAAATGACTTTGTTGCCGAAAACTTTTTCCACAGACTGTGCACAAGAAAAGCCTTTCTCCCGTGTGAATTCTCATGTGTTCAGTTAAATAAGTACGAGCTAAACGTTTTCCACAAACTTTACAGGAACAAGATGTGTGTTTATTTTTCTGTTCTTTTAGTCTAAGGTTGTCTCCGTTGTCACTTCTACCCCCATCGCCATTTGATCCTGAACCCTCAGCATCAATTATTTTATTATACTGGTTTTCATGCAGCTTGTTGCTGTTTGCGTCCGTTCCTCTTTCCTCATAAGTTATAACAAAGGTATCACTCTCCTGCTTGATTTCAAGCTCTTCCTCTAGATTGATGCAGAGTTCCTCCTGTTCATCCTTTATCTCTGTAGATTCTGGTACCCCCTGTTCCACTCTTCTTTTCAGAAATTCTAGTTTCGCTTGATCCTCTTTTAGCTCCCAAGGCGCTGCTTTTTGATTATCCGTTATCGTGGGTGATGCTGGTTCCACCTGGTATTCGACAATCTGTATTGCTTCACGTTCATCTGGGTTTTCTTCTCCCCCCACAGGATCTAGTTCTTCGTTGTTTAGTTGAATCTGGAGAGGTTTGACTGTTTCTTGTCGGTATTTTAATTGTGGAGGCCCTGGTTCCTCTTGGTTGAGTCTTTGCTGGTTGCAGAAACAATGGTGAAGATGAAGTCTATCCTCCCTTTGCACAATTTGCTGTTGGCTTTCTGAACAGGAAAAGGGATGAAATGTTTATTAACATTGTTAGGTTTTATTATTTATACATCATGTGCATTGTTATTTTGTTAGTCAGATTAGACAGAGCAGAAGGCCTTCCTTCACATTGTGGATGTCACGGTGTGTACGGAGGTCATCTAATCGGGACAGCCTTCGTGTCTTTAAGAATACACAGGATATGGGCACATCTTGGAGCCGGTCTGAGAGGAGAGCTACAGTATCTGTAACCCTGAA